ATTCGCTATTTTCGTCCGTTGATTATCTTATGTCCCTCCACCAGTCCTTCTCTATAATATGTCTGTCCGTTTAGAATGCATGTCCGTCTATTAGGTCATCGATCATTCATCCGCCATTTAGTACTTACCCATTCCACCGCTGTCCTTTCCGAGTTCTGGCTCAAAATTACACACCACCTTTTTACATTTCCATTCGAGTTTTATTTTATAATATCAATCAATTGCAAAACAAAGAAAGATGAAATAAAGTGATAAAATACTCAAGAACCTGTCGCTTCCATCATATCTCGTTTGTCTTCTACAGCTATCCAACCAATGTTGTAAGTTGTATACATATGTAGTTGTATCAAATTTTACATAGTACAATGTCACTTTGAATTGATAAAAAATTCTCTCCACGACAACACTCTTAGTCATAATTGTGAACGCGTTAGTAGTAGAGTTGAACAGAATGGAAACGCTCAATACATTTTACTTTTGCTTTTATAGTTTTGCCATTTTTTTTTTTAAGGAATTCTCTCTTATTTTTCGTATTCGTCATCCTCGCTTTCAGTATATTATCCAGATTATCCAAATGAATTTGTACTTGCAGGCTTTCTTCTCACTAGATAATGTGCTTTTAGTGCAGTTGTGCGTTGTTCGCTATTTTTATTGCCACTAAACTAAAAGATAATCTGTTCTTCCTTGATTTGATGGTTATGGCCACGTTCCGGTATATCATTTAAACAACCTATGTCCCAAATTGTACAAAAAATATCCTCTGATTATTAGAATTTCTTTTTTCTCACATATATGTATTTATATACATATATATATTTATATACATATATACATACATATACGTATATGTATTTTTATTATATATTTGAAACTATAGGCGTATATACATGAATACATTGGGGTCTCTGTTACAATTCCTTTCTTTTGCGTACCGTCTTTTTTGTCGTTTCTTTCTGAATTTTAATCGTAACTTTTACTCGTGCACACACAAGTCTCGTTTTTCACACCCTTATATATTCCGTATGTGTATTGGTATGAAAGTAGAAATTATATATTACCAATCCCACTTCAAAATTAAATATTGTTTTGATATTATATTTATCGAGAACCCTGCACACAAACTGAGAAAAATGTTATTTGTACAATGAAGTTAGCTCTGCCTTTTTTTATGTCGTTGTTGTTGTTCTTCTTCTTGTTCTGTGATACACTTAACAATCCTTTTCTTTCCATCAACGACTTGTTGATGATTTGGTCGCTCAAAGTAGACTGACAGTTTTTCTCTCCACGCACCCTTGTAATATGCAGACAAACATTGTTGCTCTCTTTTTGTTTTCATTAATCTCTCTCTCTCGCTATTGTTAATTAATTTCTACCTAACAATAGCAAAAAGGTTTATGAAAAGAAAAAGAATGATTGGCGGTCATCCGCTATGTTGAAGAGATTAATTATTGCTCTTTTACGGACAAGCATTATTATAAGGAGACAGACAAAACGTATTCAACCTACACACGCCGACGTCACAAATTAAATGTGATCTGTGTAAATTTTTCCATGTGTTCGACTACCTTATTCATGCTATTAAGATGTTTTTGAAAAAGCTTTGAAGCTTCGTTTTTACGTGCGAAAGGTTCTTTTCCAATATAAAAAGAAATCCTGGGTGCCAACTTCTATTAAAGGCTTGCTGAATGCCACTGTTTATTTTCGAACACACTTCTTACTTCTTTAAAGATTCGATGGCATTGCTCCGCGGGACCAAGCTTGTTGCGAAATGCAAATTGATACTCGGGAACTACTAACTTTAGGAAGAGTTTTCCAAAGATTTTCAAAAAGTTAGATTGAAGACTTATTGGCCTGTAAGACTGAATGCCATTCTTTTATTAGATACCATTATAATTTCAGCGCCTTCCCATTGATCTGGAAAAAGATTCACTCAAAAAATTGAATCAAAGTCAATAACATGACACCATTTTTAGGCCGAAGCATTTTTGCTTTGAAAGGGATATCCATTTAACAGGAACTGTCAAGAAATATGATATCTTTCAGTCCGTCCTCGAGACTGTTGGAAGAAAAAGGTTGAAAGATAAATTACAATAGGGTTTAAAAAAGCGATTGGCTTGTTTGAAGCTGATGTACACTTTATGCTATTTGAGTCTTTTATCAGCTAGAGTCCCGTTTTGTGTTCAGATGTTTCTTTATGTCCACTTTAATTCTAGTATTAATAATAATAGAACCTTATTCTTACTTTCTGTTTGTTACACTTGATATTATACCTTGGACGAAAATCAGAAGATCAAAATTGTCACATTTAATTTGAACTCCCGCAGCTTAATGATGTGGCTTACCGCAGTTAACCGGAATGGCTAAATTTTAAAAAGATGTAACCGAAACCATTGCCGAACCACTGTGAGGCCTATTATCGGGATGTTTCTATGAAACAGTATCATATCCTGTAATTTGGAACTTCAATCAGTAAAACGAACTTCAAAATTAGGAAAACGTCATTACGATGTTTCTGTTTCTCTTGTAGGCTTTGCCAATCCATTTGCATTCCATATATATTTCCTTAAATTTATTTGCATAGCTTAGAGATTAGCATTGTTGTCTTATTGAGGAGTTCTGGCTAACACAGCTTCGACTTTATTCATTGGATTTGTGTAGGAATTATTATTGTTTAGTGGAAAATCGTTCGAATCTTGAGAAGGATCATTAATTCCACGACTGATACGCGAAGCATAGTTTTGTGTTACTCGTGCTTGAAGTGCTTTCCTGCATATTCGGCAGTGTAATCTTTTAAGCAATTGACAATACAACCTCTTACAATAGGGCTTGATGTGGGCACCTACGGCAGAGTGCCATTTCAACAGTTTTTCTAGGATCTTCAACAGGAATTAAAGCGTGATTAATATGCCCGGCTTTAAGGATTTCCACGATTTTGATTTAGAATCCAGGTCAATGTAAAACACAGCTGGAGCTTCTCAGGTTACTCTATATGGAAAATTAATAATATGGCATCACTTCTGATGTAATATCAGCGGCACAGATAGTATTGGGTAAAGTTTCTTTACTACACTACTACTACTACTACCACTTCCATATTTTTATTAAGGTACATGTGCTATGAGCATGCTTTTGCGTCAATTGAAATGTATGAAAACCTATTTTACAAAAACCTAAACACTTGACTAGTTCTCTTTCTATAAAGCTCAACTGTCTTTACCACAAAAGCCTAACGCGATTGGCTTATAAACTTTTGTAATTAAATCGATCTTTTGGCACAACGTTGTTGTTATCATCAGCTTCTCCATCATCATTAATGGTCTGAAAAAGTGCAAATTGATTGCTGGTAGCTTGTTTGTCAACATTAATGTTTAACTCACGTCCTTTTTTCGTCGAGTTTAGGAGATCCACGCTAAAGTCGTTTTCAATCTTTATGTTATTTTTGCTTGCGAACAATACATTGGCACGCACTATTAGTGTCACATTCTTCACCTTCACGGAACGTACGGCGTTGCTTTGGCCAAAACACTCAACAACTTGGCTCACGGCTAAGAACAACATATTGCACAAAGATAACAAATTGTTCGCGTGGGTTCAAATAGCATTTGTTTGTCTTCAATGTTCGCAATTATGAAACCGTTTCTTACCTTCATCTTTTTTTTTCTTTTTTTAATTTGCAACAACACATGCAAGAGCACTCTTACTTCGAATATTAATCGATTAGACTGTTAGAAATAGCAATGACAGTGTTAACGAATGTCAATAACACACATCAATCTGCACGCAACGAGTCTTAAAACTGCAACTACTTTAAAAAAGATCTTTCAGTGCCAACCAAAAATTGTTGTTTCACTGCTGGACTAGGCATCAACAATTTGTAAATAATTACGACTTATTTAAGGTGAATTAAATTTTCTTAGATGTATTTTCACAAATCATGTTCATCTTCTAAAGTCTTCTTTCCCTAAGGAGCGCTCCGTTCTACACGAAAATGTCGAATATTCGCACAGCGTTCCGCAATCTTTCAATAAAAAAAAAAAAAAACAAAAAACGGTGCCTACTAATTTTGTTTTTTTTTTTTTTAAATTTTCTGTTTTTGTAGACGTGAAAAATGGTTTACGGCATTTGTATTTAATGTGCTGTTCTTCTCCATATCGTCTCACATTATTGTTATGATAATTATAACGGCTATTGAGGTTTTTTTTTTGTTTTTAGCGTTGTTTTTTGTTGTTGTTGTTGCTGTTGCTGTTGCTGCCGCTGCTGTGGCTGCAACTATTACCATTAACATAATGTTTTACTGTAATTTGATATCTTTGCTTAAAAAAAAACTAAAAAAGAAGAGAAGAACGAGACATAACCAATATATATATATATATATATCTATATGTGTGTATACAAAAAGCAGCTAAAGTGTGATATGATGGAATATTGTGGTGGTGGTGTTGTAGTTTTGTGATGAGTCAATAGGTTTTTTTTTCGTTCGTTTCAAGGTTCTCGGTTTCAACATTAAGATAATTCTTCAGAAAATGGGGGTAAAAATTTGTTCAAAAAATAATGCTGTCAAAAAAGTACCGAGAATATTATATTCAAAAATCAACTTACACGGTTTTGGCAAAAGTTATTTAGCGTTGTTCGTGCACCTCGAGTTGGGTGTTTTTGATCAAATTTCATTGGTGAGAAATGTATTGAAAATACGGGAAAAATTTTATGGTAAAGGAAATTGAGAAGGTACACGGTGTCGTTTTAAAGGCGATAATTTCTGCTATTCTACTTATCTTATAGACGCTTGTCCGCTTTGTACGCTGAATATACTTAGGCGCCTCCCTAAAGTTCCTTTAATTTACGTTTAATACAATAAGGATACCACATTTTTTTGGGGCAGTAAAAGTTATATGTCGTTTCAATAATTCCCAATACTTCTTCGCAGAATATATTCAAAAAATTGATCTCGTGTTTTTACTCTACCTGTACACCTTATTTAATCTATTTAATCATTTTGTATTTTCCTTTTTATTCTTAGTGGAAATTCGGATAAACAGCATTTGGATTCATCTAGTGATTCAGAAATGGAAGGTGCTTTAATGCAGCAAAGTCACAGTGGAGGCGCTGCCTCTAATAACAATAACGATAATAACAGCAGCGGTACTAACATTAATGCAAGCCACAGTCATCATCATCCGCAACATCCGGCAAATTCTCATCATCATCATCATCATCATCATCATCACCACCAGCCACACCAACAACAAACGCAACAACCACTAGGTGCAGTATCAACGCAACAATTATCGCCCAGCAACAGTAGTCATCATACGGCCGCCGAGAGTGGAGCCATTTGTGCGGTCACAGAATTGCTGGAACTTTTACTAGCTGATCCACTTACTGTTGGCACACCTACCAATTGAGCGCTTAACGTATGATCGACAACGTGTTGTGCGGCCGCTACTGCTGCAACACTATGATGCAAGGGTTGATGATGGGCGGCCGTACAACACGTTGTCGATCATACGTTAAGCGCTCAATTGGTAGGTGTGCCAACAGTAAGTGGATCAGCTAGTAAAAGTTCCAGCAATTCTGTGACCGCACAAATGGCTCCACTCTCGGCGGCCGTAGCCTATTCGCACTTGCACAGTGTTATGGGATCGATGCCAATTTACGATATGAGCGAATATCAACATTTATGATTTTAGTTGGACGCCCTTCGTTCGGGTAGCACTAGTAAAAGCAGCAGTACTAGCAACATTAACATACAAGAATGGTCGACAGGATATGCAACTGTTGCTAAACAAAGACCACAGAGGCAACAACAATAGCTACAGAAAACTGAGTTTTTCATTTAATAAGAGATAAAGGTACAAAACCTTTTAAAAAAAAAAAATCTTTTTTTTTTTTTTTAAACAATAAATTGTAAAAAATCGATTGACGCAAAACTTAAAATAAAGCAAAAAGCTAGCAACCACGTTTATCAATATTTATAAATATTATTTTCAATGTAGAAAGAAAAAAAAGAAAACGAGGAAAAAGGATAAAGGATTTTTTTATTACTGCAGACACACATTTTTGTGAAATATTTAGACTGGTTTAAAAAAAAAAATAAATAAATAAATAAAAATATATGTAAATATAAAATTTAAAATAAAAAAAAATTTTTAATAAAACTGTGCAAAATTCTTTAAAATAATTTATACATTGTAAATACGTTTAATTTTTATTTTTTTTAAGTCTGTTTTGTTAAACTTATCAGGATTAAATTATTAAAAAATTTTATAACACCCACACAAGTAAATAATAAATGTAAATAAAATTACTTGCTTATAAAAACACTTAAGCATAACGCTGTTATTTATTCAACTTTTTATTTTTTTTTTTTGGACCAACCACCTACGGCCAGGTGTTTAGAATGGAATGAAAATGCAAACTCTTTCGAAATTTCCTTTAATTATTCATTAAAAGTATATACAAAAAAAAAAAACTTATCATGTACGCCTGCGATACCTTAAAGCCGATCACTTTGCTTAATAACTGACAATGAGATTAACCCGTCTATACAATTTTTATGCTGTTCCTTGTCAGTTGTAATCTCATTTTCTTGGTAATTTTTTTATTATTAAATTCTATTGTCTTGTTTTTCCTTTTTTTTTTTTTTTTTTTTTTCTTATAGAAATTTTCATTCATTAATTGTCCATTCAAACAGCAATATATTTGCTCACATATGTATAGAAAACATCGTACCGAACATTAAGGTTGGCCTTGCTCTACTTCACCCTACGCAATAAAGCAGTTTTTTTTTTTTTTTTTAATTACATATTTAATTTGCAATCAATCCACAAAAATAATAAGTGTTGGAAATAAAAGGGATTATTATCCCACCAATCGGAATCCGCAACATAGCAGACATGAGTATAATGGGTCATATTGAAAAGTCTTCGCGGTTTTTTCGACGGTTCCGAACTTCGTTCTTCTTCTGATGCTTTCAAATGATTCCAAACTGTCATGTGGCTGACGTTCATCGCTTATGCTATTTGCTGATAGCTTCCGCATCAATTGCAAAATTTCATCGACTTTTTCAATGACTGCGAGGTGCATCTTTAACGCTGAAATTTCCGAAACGGAATCGAGTAAATCACTCCTGCGTACTTCCCTCATTCACATCCTTCTCATTCTATACTTCACATACTTTGCGATATGTTCTTGCAATGTTTTCGCCTTTTTACAGTCAAAAAGCATCACATAGCGTGTTTCCTCCGATATTTGACTCATTTCCAAAATCAATATAATTTTTCACGCGATCAAAGAATTAGAAAAACATCTTCACAAGAAATATAAGCTGAAATGTCACCTTTTAAGTGCACGTTGTCGTTTGACTCGACCAGGTTTGTGTTGCCCGATAAAAAGGCGTCAACACCATCCCACGGAAAAAATTGCGGGGAATTTTTAATACGACCTAATCTACAAACTTGGAAGAGACATTGTCTCACTTATATGATTACTCAGTCTGAAAAGATATCTGGAGGAAATGCGTTGAATTGCATTTCTGATAAATAGAAAATCCAGGTCAACAGAAAGGCGGAAGGCCTTCGATTGATACTTTTTGGGGTATTTCAATATTAGAGTTACTATGACCTCATAGTTCTTTGCCATAGATCCAAATAGAAGGGAGATACTCTTGTATATAATGCGTTTATTTCTTAGATTAAGTTGAGTTCTGGACGAATTAGCCAAGAGAGTCTTCTGGTTTTTAAAACAAATTGCTGGCACTGAGGTTGACTTCTTCGTATTAGTCTTTGATCAATATGTAAGTCAAGATATTCGACACAATTGTTGATAGGGATATTATTGGCATCCAAGAGATTAGCCAAGGCTGTATAGCATGGACTAAGTTTTGTAATAAAACAATAAGTCATGAAGTTAATGATTGTCCACGTGGGTCAGGTTGCTCAAAAGTGGGATTGTTTCTGGTACGAAGGTGCACTATTCATCTGATTATCGGGACGAATGCCTTCTTACGTGACTGCTGAGTACCGTGATGGCTGTAATTACCTCGAAGTTTCCTTTGGGAATTAAACTAAGAGGTATTTAGAGGCATAGCAATAAGCGAAAAAATGTCCCATACTCATTCTCTATTTTGGTGCCTCAAGAATAGTTGGCCCCCTTCAACGGAGATTGTCCTACTCCTTGGGGGGCGTCGATTATCGCTTGTCAACATAACCCTTGTGCTATGGGGCTAAAGCTTCAACGTAGGAACATACATAAAACCATATAAGAATTCTGCCATCCAAGAACAGTGAAGGAGAAGAACCCTTATTTAGCGTGTAGGTTATATATTCTACTTGTTCAGCCAAAGAGAAATTTTGTTAAGACGAATTTATAGCTGTAGGAAGCATTCATAGGACCACAAGATGCAAATAGGATTTGTACGTCATCAACGTATGAAGCGAAAATTGCATAGAATATTGGACTAAAACCACTACCTTTGGGCACTCCACATACTATTTATTATATATATTGAATCATCATCCCTTCAACATTAATATAGAAACAAATAGGATTAAAGCAGCAAATACATAGAATTTGTAAGAAAGTTTTCAAATTAGAAAAACAAACCATTAGGCCAGACTTTATCGAAGGCCTTTCCCACATCTACCAGCAAGCACACCGTCGCAATGTTTAATTTCAATGGCTTCGCTGATGTAGGCAAGAATACGATAACATTGCTCAATGGTCTCATGTTTATTACCGAAACCGAACTGATGGAAAAATATGTTTTTACTCTAGGACTGGAAGTAGTCTTCGTAGATATATTTTCTCAAAGGTTTTAGAAAAAATAATCAGTAAACTAATTGGTCTATACGAGTTTACAAGGTTTTCTCGCTTATTAGATTTAGCCGCTAAATTGCTTCTGTGCGCTTCTATTGAATTGTAAGGTGATTCAATCTTCTTAATATATTGCAAAAAATTAACGTTAAGAAGATGAAAAAATATTAAAATAATCAGACCATTTGTGCAATCAAATCCAGGAGATTTTTTAACATTCAGTTTTCTTACTCCTTTGACTACAATACCAACCAATACCTGTCTGATAGGCCAATCCGTAGGACATGCGCTGTCTAGAAATTCCAATACTTCTTCTGCGTTTGAAGTATCGCATGGGTTAGTAGGCTGTAGAGTGCTTTTTAGAAAATGAACAAAGTTTTCAGCTTTCGGTTTTCTTCATATCATTTTTGCACCAATTTTCGAACGTATCTCTTAAAGGAACAATTCGCTTGATCGATAGTTAAAGATATTTAATGACTCTCCATATGTAATGCTCACCACACATGCCTGATCTCAGCTAAACGTAAGCGCAGGTCCTCTATTCGAATTCCTTTTATGTAGAAGATTCCTACTGCTCCGATCATTTGCCTTTTCCCGAAGCTAACGTAATTGATGTAGCATCTTGGCGGGATCAAAATTTCTGAGAATGGATATAAAACCAGTTGGGTGAATAAGATTTTTAAAACTACTACTGGATTATCAATTTCAGAAGAGCTTTGCCAAGTCAGATTAAGTTGTAAATTGTTATCGATCCAATCACTAAAAGCTTGGATCTCCGCGATTGATGTTCGACGTTTAGGTCCTTCCAACAATAAATTTTGCAGCCAATTGCCGGAAAAAATCGTTACATTTCAATGAAAATCATGGAAAAAAATAAACCGCACAAATTGAAATATCAAAATTGTTGCAATTCATTTTAACACGAGAAGCCTGCAAAAATTATTCTTTGAAGATATTCGAAGTTTTATATCCAATAGTAGAGATCACTAGAATCACGGAATCAACATCAGCTCCATCGTGAAGGTGATTCGCCGTTATTAAGTTGAGTCCCTGCTTTTTAATCAAGTCCTCAATTAGGATTTGGATTTTTCGATATTTCAGCGTATTGGGGAATTTTCGATATGATAGCCTATTATCATTAGTCATGGCAATACTAAGTGTAATCGGATGTTGTCAAGTTGATTGAAAAAATAATTATTATTACGCTTGTCCTGCGTCTTAATCTACAAGAATTTCAAAGTTTGTTAATGGCATACGGAACAACCTTTACCCACATGATTTTTCAATTAATTTGAAAATTTTGGATGGGGATCGTCACTTGTAGTCCAGGGCTTAATTAAGTGAACCAAGCTACATTTCACACATTCGATTTGCTCTATGCAATATTTGGACAACTATGTCCGCTAATGCAACTGTGGGATGTATCTGTAAAGGAGCTTCGCCTCTAACGACAGCATGATTAAAGTATTTCACTTTGTAAACCTTTTCGTTATGCTCACTTGGTTCTACATTATCTTTTGGATCATTACTGAATCTACGACATACGTTGAAAATATTGCGAACTTTTGTCATTTAAAATTTTTTCTGACTACCTATGACTGTCTTTCAAAGTTTTGTAATTAAATTCATTAACTAGTCCATCTCCACTCAACAACCCAAAAAAAAAATCCTTAGCAGCAATCACAGTTGAAAAATCCTTTACGATGCATTTTATGTCACCTACGCAAGGAATTAAGATTTATGGCGTTTTTGGAGATATTAGTGCTTCATTATCAACCCTTGGTATTATTATCGTTAATAACATTGTTTCCATCAGGGTTTAGAATAGAAAAGCGATTTATTGAGTTTACTTTGGCAGCTTTTCGATGAGCAGGGGTTACTATAGAGTTATTATATTGTACATGTTATTATACATATGTACATATTATCTATATAATGAGAACTGTCTTGCTTGCGAAGACTGCCCATCTATGGAATTGCTACCTGGGTTGGAAGCTTGTTCATTCTGCGGAACTAAAGATATCTTATTGGTTTTGTACGTCGAAATTGTTTGGGCAACGCTATTAGACCTGGCACGATAAAACA